ATTTGTGCCTTGCTGAGGGACACTCAATATCCCCTGGAAGCCAGGAAATTAAGGAGAGCAATAGTGTGGGCCTGTGAATCCTCATAGGATGGGCTACAAAGGAGGAGGTCACACATACTGTATTAAAGAGCTAGAGGCTGGAGGGGGTTAAGATGATTCTTGAGCTAAGGCCTGGATGAAGAAGTGGGGTCTATCACAAAACCCCTGAGGTGGTACTGACCAGGGGAGTTTTGGGGAATGGTGTGTGTCAGGATTAGTACTATACTAAATGGTATGAGCCATTAGGCTTTATAACCAGAAGGATGGGTGTATTGAAAGGCGAGTGGGTAGGCTGTAAGAGATGAGAAGAAAGGAGTTTGTGTGTTATGGATTTTAAGCCTATTGAGTGCTTGTTAGTGATGGGGTATTGTGGGGCACTACGGTACAAAAAGGGGTTCCATAACTTAACAAGGATAGGGGAATAGCATAGCAGTGGAGGGTGAAGTGTCTCCTACAGGATTAACCTTTTCTGAGTGGGATGGGGGAAGGTCGAAGCCTCAGGGCCCAGGTCTGGGTGTGGCCTGTAAGAGGAGTATTGTAGCTGGAGTTAAAGTGTTTAGGGTAAGAGTAGCTTTGAATTTGAAAAGAGTGTCCCGGATGGTAAGGCGTTTGCACATTGAGGCATTATTAAAAATTTGTGTGTGAATTGGGTGTGATGTAGGGTGCAGGAAAGGGTTTGGGTGATCTGTGGGAAATATTCTGATCCCATGACCCCTACTATTGTGATAGAGGATGGGTTGTTGGTCCTGCATATTCAGGAAGGGTAGAGTAAGTGGCCCCTGACAAAAGAGATCAGCTTACCTGCTAGGAGGCAAGTTACCCTAGGCTCACGTGTGGTGATCTCCTTGGGGGCCTTGTCCCTGGGCATCATCAGTCCTTCTCTTGGGCAAAGATGAGAAGCTCTGGTAGGGATGGCTATGAAGCCAAAGGCTGTGGGTTGGGGACTGGGACACTCCCTCTCTGGTGAGTGGCACAATCCCATAGTGACCAGGCCATGTGCAATGATGACAGGGCCCAGTATGGGGCCTGAAATTACAACAGGGCCATGCTGAGTGGCCCAGTTGACTGCATTTGAAACAGTTCTTGGGTGGCTTCTACCTAGAGGCAGCTGGCTTTGGAGAATGTGAGCCATGGATGGCATTAGCCAGGAGGTGGTATTTGGCCTTTTAGTTTTTTCAAATATCAGCTTTTCCCTAGAGGCAGCCAGCTTTGGAGTATGTGAGCCATGGATGGCATTAGCCAGAAGCTGGTATTTGGCCTGATCTCTTTTATAGATTTTTTCAAATATCGGGGGCTGACTGGGTAATGAAATGAAAGTGGAAGAGGGCCATGCCTGCAGGGGAGTTTGGGTCTATACTTGTGTATTCATGTAAAGCCTCAGAGAGGTGGGTTAGGAACTTGCTGGATTTTTCAGTGGATCTCTGTGTGATTTCTCTAAGCTTGTTATAATAGACTGACTTGTGAGTAGCCTTTTGGAGGCTGTGAAGTAGGTGTGTGATCATATTATCCCAGAGATCCCAATCCCTGTGACTGGCCTGGTAGTCCCAATTTGGGGACATGAAAGGAAAAGCAACAGCTCACACAGGCCACGTATTATTTTCAGCATGTACCTGAGCTTACATCCAGACCTGCTCCTTGTATGTGGACTTGGACAATTCCTTCCATCCCAGCCACTTCACAGAAAGGTTATAAAAAGCCAGAGCTGAGACGGGGTTGTTACTTGACAAAGGGGGAGAAGGTTGAGGATGAGCTTCTTGAGACCAGGTAGAGGGAACAGAGGGAAATGTGGAGGGGTTGGTGAAGGATTTGGAGCATACAGAGGTAGTTGAGGTGGCCTGTATGGGTAGCGGAGTAGTCTGACAGATCAGAGGATTGGTCCAAGTCTGGAAGGGTAGGTCAAGCATGAGCTAGGAGGATTTGAGACAAAGGACAGTTTTCACAGAGAGAAGAAAACGTTCAGAGATAGGAGATGGCCTGAACAAGAGGAATCTCTCTGTCTTGCCCCCTCAGTGAGTATCTAAATTAAGAATGCCATCTTGTGGCCATTGGGATCCATTGTAAAGAAGTGTTTGAGTTTTGATTTCTCCCTGAAGGCCGAGAAATTGGCCAGGAGACAGTCCAGAGGCATAGAGCGTGGAGTACAGTAGAAAATGAGACATTTAGGTTTAATGTCTTCCTGAAGGCCAAGAAATTGGTCAGGAGACAGCCCAAGGGCATAGAGCTTGGTTGTTTGGATTGTGAGTATCCTGTGTAGAGGGTAAGAAAGGGTGTTGGCAGTCCTGGTAGAAGAATGCTGCAGGCAGTCCTGGTAGAAGAATGCTGCCAAGGAGTCTCATCCTTGGTGTGCATCTTCTTTTCGAGAAAAAAGCCATGACCTGCTAATGAAGCATCCTTCATAGCTGGGGGGCATGAGAAAAGTTCCCTTGGCCAGGAGCCTGGGCTTCATAGAGAACAGAGTCATAGAGAGTTGTGGGGGGAACTTGTGGAGGCAGGACAGACCCATTGACTCACCCTGAATTGAGGCTGGCGCTCGATATGTTGGTCTGAAACAGCAACAGTAGAGAGTCCCAGAGGCACACAGTTTCAGGAGGTCCAAGAAGGGTTGCCAGGAGGCAGCCAATCAACCCAAGAGAGAGAGGATTGTCTGAAGGTCTGGCCAAGACCCTTTCCAGTTTTGAGCATCATAATGAGAGAAAGTGAGTTGAGACACCAGTAACATTCAAGCTTTATTAAGGGAAAAGAATCTGCCAAGCTGTGCTCAAAGTGGAAGGCAGCCTGGGGCTGCCTTCAAAATGGAAGACAGCACTAGATGTTGGGGGTGGGAGAGCTTATATGGACTGATACAATCAAGGAGGGGCATTATGCTAATGGGGATTGGGGTGGATACTGCATCCTGTGGAAGCAAAAAGTGTTTCTGTTTAAGTCACTAGGCTTCTTGTAAAGGCAAGGGGGAGGGGCTTGTTGCTGGAGTGGAAGACATGGCCAGTGTCTATTTTGTGCTTATTGTGTGCACAATGGCACCAGTCACTTCCAAAATTCATCAGACACCTGTGGCAATACTCTTTTTGAATGTCGAATGTTCACAGATAATTTATGTTCTAGATTACAAATATTATTGGTTAAATTAAATACATGGATACTGAAGGTGTACTACGTGAAAAATGGATTATGGTTATTTCTCCTGCTCAGTTTGGGGACCAAGAAGCACCTTTAAAAAACAAAACAAACAAACAAAAAAAACGAACAAATAATTCTGTAACTTGAGTTGAGAAAACAAAAATTAGAAGTTATTTATTTGAAATTAGTGATAGAGTTTGAAGTATTCTGCATTCACAGGAGAAAAACCAATTTTATTAGCAGCTGCTTCCAAGCTTTCACTGTGTGTAAAATAAACATTTAATTTCTCTTATATTAAGAGTATCTTAATAAAGTAAATTTTTGCAATTTTGCTCATTTTTCTGTAAAGGTCATTTTTTTAAATATAATGAATAACATGTACTTTCTTAAATGAAAAATACCTAATCCTATTCCCTGAGTAATAATAAACTCTCATATGTTTACATTTATTCCTTTAATTGACTTTTCTCTAGATGTTTTCATAATATCACATAGCCTCAGGATGATTTTCAGTATGTTTGGGTAAGTTTTGTCTGGGTGCAAATATTGATAGAAGAAGAACATAAATCCAGGTAGGTCATAATGAGTTGCATGGCAATGAATGAGTCACAACAATTCAATAAAGAAGTATTCCCACCAAAAAACTAAATACCAATATTACTATCACATTTTCTAAAAACCGAAAGCTGTAGTATAGTGTTCTACCCACTTCTGCCTGTTGTCAATTATTTCCTCACTTGACAACTGCAGTTTCACTGCCGACCAGCAGGAGAAGCTGATGGCAGCATACACTAAAGTGATCAAGATAAGCATCAGCACATACCCAATGGAATTGAATTAGTTTTTAGTGTTGCTACGGACATGAGCTCAACTTCTCCAAAACTCCAGCCATGATGCCAACCATGATACAGAAAATATGATTAATAAAAATGGTAGGCTCTTCATTTTCAGAGATGTGGTAAAAAGTACCAGAGCCACAACACGGGAGGTAATCTCCAAGCAACAGCATATCATGATGCAGATGAATTCTACTGGCTGTACTTTACTTAATGTTAGTATTGTCATATTTGATTTTGGTGGTCAGTATATAGCTGTATATGGCCCCATAAGTAACTGATATTAGGGAAAATGTCATCAGCAATGCTATTAAGAATAACATAAAAATATTAGTGAATAGCTTCGATAAGTGGTAACAATACTTTATTTGTTCTCTAAAGCTGTCATTTTATGGTATACCCCTCCCTACCCACCTCCTTTTTTATTTGAAAATCATTTACTCAAGAAATAAGAACTTATTAATCTTTGGAATCAGGGACATAGTAAATACATTCATGTAAAACATATATTCCACCTGGGAAAAATAGATAATAAATAGACACATACATACCTTTATACATATATACACATCCACTCAAAGGGAAGAAGGCAGAGATGAATTTGGAGAGAGAGTTTGTCTCAGTTTTGCTGATTAAAAAAAAGCAATTGAAGACATAGATTCACATCTCATAGCATAAAGTGTGACAGGACACAGGAAGAAGCTTAAGCTTTAAAATAATTAAATTATCGGTCCAATCCCATGGTACACTCAGGAGAGTGCAGCGCTGGGAGTGCAGCAGCGTTCTGCCACAGGTTCGGATCCTATATAGGGATGACCGGTGCACTCACTGGCTGAGTGCAGTGTGGGTGACATAACACCAAGGGTTGCGATCCCCTTACTGGTCACATTAAAAAAAAAATTAAATTGTCTGAATAAAAAGATAACTTTGTTCTTTATAGAAAGCTTAGGAGAAGACTAGAATAAAAAGCAGAAGGCTAATACAATATGGAATGTGGTTTACACTAGAAAAATTAGATGTGGAGTTAAAAAATAAATACTTACAATTTTTTTTTTATTATTTTTTATTTCTCTGAAATAAATCCTAAAAATGGAGCTGACAGATTTCCTCAGTGGTAGGATAAAAGGTATTTTACAACAAGGGGAATAAGAAATTCCAGAAATTAAGATAGATTTATTTTCATAAATATTATAAGAAATGAATTTCTTTTTATAAACAAAGATCATTTTATTTCAATACTGTTCTCCCTTAAATTAGACAGATAAGCACATGAAATAAAGAAAATTAAGAAAAGTAAGGATATAAAAGTAATTAAATTGTATGTTTAAATAATTTCAGACTACATTTATTTGAAAGAAGTTTGGAAATTCTTTTTAATATACATGTGTAATGTTAAAAATAAAAGAAAATTCTTCATAATTGCATTAAACCAGAATACAAAATGAGAGAGAACAAGTGGTAGTCATTCCTCATATAAATTAAAATGAGGGTATCAAAATTGAAATTGCACACCCTTTAGAAAATGAATCACAAGACTCCATTTACATTTGAGAAATATTTAAAGTGAAACTCTTAAAACCATTGACATCCTTATCTTAATTTATGAGAAAACAAGATTATTTAAAAATAAATGACCTAAGAATTCAATTTTATAAAGTAAAATTAAATAAGATAAAATTCCAGAATAGAAGAAATAAATTAATAAATAAAAAGTAGATATTAAGGGCCGGCCCGGTGGCGCACTGGATAGTGCGCCGCTTGGGAAGCGCGGCGGCGCTCCTGCCCGAGGGTTCGGATCCCACATACAGACCGGTTCCCGCTCACTGGCTGAGCAAGGCACAGGAGCAGCACCAAGGGTTGCAATCCCGTTGCCGATCCCGGTCCGGTACGGGGGCAACACTGAGGGTTGCGATCTGTTGCCAGACACGGAAAAAGACAAAAAAAAAAAAAAAAGTAGATATTAATAAATTTAAAACTAATTATGGATATAAATTTTAAACTATAATAAGAAAGAAGTTAGATACTTCTAATACAAAACTTTAAAAATAAAAAAAGGAAATCAACTAAAGATCAATAGGGAATATTCAAGTTTATTTAACAGTAAGTAAAATTTTACACAAATTCTTATCTAGCTGAATGTTTGATTTTAAGAAATATGTGTAAATATTAAAATTAATTCAAAGAATGAGTCAACTGTCTCAAAAAATTTAAAATTTTTAAAATTTATTTAAAAAAATAATAAAATAAAAGTTCTACCTCTAATTATAAATCATCACTTGGGGAATTATACCAAACCAGAGTATATCTCCCTAACATTTAACTATATTAAAAACAACAAGAACAAATATGAATATATATTATGTCCTGTCATGAGCTTTATAATTTTTTAAGCACTTAAAATGTATTAAGCTCATATAATTTTCAAAAATTATAAAAATGTATCTATATATTATAAGTTTACAGATAAGGAAACAATGAATTAAGAAACTCTCCAAAAAAATTGTTTAGTTGATAAGAAGACAAGTGAGCACACAAATGCAGTCTATGGATTCTGTTCGTACAATTACCCTGCTTCTAATACCATGGAGCTAGTATAACTTTAAAAGTAAAATTGATTTTAAAAAAAAAAGCACAAAAAAGAATAACATAAAAAATAAAACCAGAGGACAAATTTCACATATGAATTTCACACATGTAAACTTACTTTACATACATTTACTCTACATATTTTACATTTTCATGAACAGTTTTTCCCACTAGAGATCATCCCATTCTAAGAAATAAATACTGATGTCATCCCTCATAGTAGCTGCATAGCTTTAGGTTGATTTAGCCATCATTTGTTTCACTGCAGAAAGTTACATATAATAAAATGATTGAGGATATTTGAGAATGTATATATAAATGGTTTTAATTCAGTTTCTATGTTCAGTTGTCAAGTACTTATTTCTCTGACAAACAACTTTTTATCCTAATAATAGACTTTATGTACAATAGATAGTCTATCGTTGTTGTTATAGTTTCCAAACTGTATGTAGCTCTTCCTTTTTATTTTGTTTTCCAGATAAATGCTAATAGCAACTTTCAAAAAAAATGCAGTTATTATTTTAAAGGGATTTCCCTTATAGTTACAGATAATTTCAAATGACATCTAAGATGGCAAATTATATCTTTATAATAATGTACTATAGGTTCTACTTTTTTACAAAAAAATTCATGTTTGTATTAATCAGTTTTGAAATATGAGAAACGATTGCTTTTAAGTGTTAATTGGAATTAGCATTTGCCTCTAAATGGAAAATTTTCATTTTATCTACAAGGCTAATCAACATCTATCTATTTAGCCAGTCATTGTCAAGTTCAATCATTACTCCTCTTCTTCATCTAGCTAGCTAAAGTATTAGATATATATCTAAATGTATACATTCCTGGTGACTTTTAAAAATCTTTTTATTTGAAATAATGAGAGATTTGTAGAAAGATACAAAGAGAGTACAGAAATGTCCTTCATAACATCTTATGTATTTTCTCTCTTAGGTTGCATCTTACATAAGCTCACATAATTGCAGTACAACATAAGTATAGGAAATTGACATTGGCTCAATGCATTTGTGTGGCTCTATTTTATTTTATACATCTATACATTTATGTGAACTACAATTGCAATCACGACACACAACTATTTGCTTAGTGGCTTTTACAAAATTTGAGAATCATATGCACATTCCAACTTTTTCTTTCATAGTTTCTACTTTAATTATTAGAAGTATACTGTTTTTGGGCCGGCCCGGTGGCGCACTGTATAAATGCGCCGCTTGGGAAGCGCGGCGGCGCTCCCGCCCGAGGGTTCGGATCCCACATACAGACCGGTTCCCGCTCACTGGCTGAGCGAGGCGCGGGAGCAACACCGAGGGTTGCAATCCCGTTGCTGGTCCCCGGTCCGGTACAGGGGCAACACTGAGGGTTGCAATCCGTTGCCGGATACGGAAAAAGACAAAAAAGACAAAAAAAAAAAAAAAGAAAAGTTGAGGAACTATTACAAAAAAAGTCATTGAGTGAGTAGAGGGAGTAGTTAGAATAGAAAAATTAGTAAACAGAGGGAAATTATATAACAGGCTGGTAAATAAAAATGTCCACTGAAATAATTAAAATACCAGTTTTTAAATAGCTACAGCTTCCTCTATTAAAACAGAAATAGGGCCAGCCCAGTGGTGCACTGCTACAGTGCGCCGCTTGGGAGTGCGGCGGCGCTCCCACCGAGGGTTCAGATCCCACATACAGACCGGCTGCTCACTGGCTGAGCGAGGTGCGGGCGCAACACCGAGGGTTGCGATCCCATTGCCAAAAAAAAAAAAAAAAAAAAAAAAAAAAAAAAGAAGTATACTGTTTTTTAAAAATAGACTATAATAAAACAATGTTTGAAATGAAAACTTATTATTCCTCCACTTGACATCTAAAATATATCAAGTTTAATTTAACCCCATCAATAAAATCAATTTATGTTAACTTTCATTCACAGTAATTTTCTGTAGGTGCCAGCATCATCTATTTATAATCTACTCAACAAAGAAATTCATGGAAAATCAATCTTACAAAAATTTAGTACAATCATGACTTAAGAATAAGTACTTAAACTTCCCAGTGTGTATTATTACCTTATTTTACCCTTCCTGCATGTGTAGAACTGGCTCTCAGCATCAAATAACCCAACTTACCTCTACCCAAAAGTCCTTCTCTTATAATGAGAGTGATACATAGCTGAAAAACAAATTGTGGAACAGAACCAAGAAAGGCCTGGATCACTGGCATGCACTCGAAAGCCTTGTAGTACATAAAAGTACCATAGACTGAGAGAACAATCTCCCTTTTCAGCATCATCTTTATCCTTTGGATGCAAACGTGAGTCTCTACCTTGTCCTGTTAAGTTTTTTCAACAACTTTATGATAATTTAGAATGATCTGCAAACACCTGTTAGAAAGAAGTAACATTCAAGATTAACATTCCTTGCCAATAGATGTATAGAAATATTTGAAAAGTTATTAGATGAATCTCTACTTTTAAAATTATATTATTAAATATAAGAAACACTAACTTAATTACCTATTATGTAGCTTGCCATCTTACCATTTGCTCTCTAGTTCTATATCTCTCATTTTAATAACAAAAATATTATGTAAGTATATTCTTGTAAAAAGTCAAATAGATTAAAAAGCAAAGATCCCTCCATTCATAGTCACTAGTTATTTTCAGTTTGATGTATAATATTCCAGTCTTTTCCCATGCATTTATATTCTTACACGTTATTTGTCTACAAAAAAATAATTCTACATATCGTTCTATTTTCTTGTCAGTATTTTTAGATGTTTTCCATGATGTAAATCTACCTCAAATTAACTGCTTTCAAAGGGCTCAAAATTACCATTATAACATAGTTTGGCTTATTGCTTTTTCTATTAACGGGCTATAACTCATTTGCCATTCAATGTGGCTTAAAAAAATTAAATTAAAATTTATGTACCAGCTAGCCACAAACAAACAAATAAAAACCCTCAAATTGTGCCAGGCCAGGCACAAAAGCCAATACGAATACTCTCTGGTAGTATTTAACTTCAAAATATTCTCAAAGAATTTCCACAATTAAAATTCTATGGTTGGGCCAGCCCTGTGGCGCACTCAGTAGAGTGCAGCACTTGGGAGTGCAGCGACGCTCCTGCCGAGGGTTCGGATCCCATATAGAGACCGGTCCGCTCACTGGTTGAGCGCGGTGCGGGTGCGACACCTAGGGTTGCGATCCCGATACCGGTCATGAAAAAAGACAAAAAGGAAAAAAAAAATTCTATGGCAAATATGCAGATCCTCATAAAAATATCATGAAACACAAATAAAAACAAGATATCATGAGAAGCATAATGACAACCCCAAAATACTTTATATACTTATCAAAAACTGAAAAATAAGTATATTTAATATTGTTAAAGAAGTAAATGAGCAGTTCAGAAGTATGAAAAAGAAAACTTCTCAATGCTGAACAAATTTTTAAAAGAACCCAGAGAACTACCAGAAAACAATATATAATAGTTAAAAAAAATTAAATCATTGGGTGGATTAAATAGTTTCAAGGTAATTAGATAACTGGAAGATAAATTTCATAAAATTATAAAAAACGTACTTCAGAGAGAAAGAGATGGGAAATATGAGCTTAAGAAAACAGTGAGAAAGCTTACACTTCTAATCAGAATTCAAGATTAAGAAGTCCTCTATATCCCAATCAGAAAAGGTATCTGCAATAAACAAAAGACAACTACATGTTTTAAAATAATCCAATGAGTACAAATAAACTAAATTTATCATAATTTAGATATAGATTTTCACTTTTATATTTTTTACAAGAGTTAGAACTAAAGCATAAGAACAAAGAATGAAGGCAAACAAAAAGCAAAAACAAAATCCTCATAAAACAAATGCAAGGAAAAGCTGTTAGCATTTTTAAGGCATAACAAAATACTATCAGAAATAAAGGAAATCTGTGCAGAATAGTGTTTTAATTTCTTCAGAAAATCTTATGATTTCTAAACTTCTATAAACCTAATAACATGAAAAACTGTACAAATACAACATAAATCTAGAAGACAATAATTGACCATTGGAAACATTATCTCAACTAATTTCAAAGGTGTCTTAGGCTTTAGAGCTCATTTTCTGTCATAATAACCCAACTGCAGTTATCAATGAAAGAAAATATATCAAAAATATATAAAGAATAATGTAATGAATATCACTTACCTTCAAAAAAGAGACTATTTTCAGTATTGTAGAAGCCTCCTCTGTATTCTTCTATTGTTATACCTCTCTCTTACCATATAAACCAAAGGGCTAACATAATTTCATTATATTATATTAACTAGCTTTTCCTTAGTAATCATCAAATATTTGACAAGTTAAATAAGATCCTATAGTTATACATTTTGGATACTTTTGTCCTTTAAGTACATGGTATCATATGTTTCTTCTATGTTATTTTGCTTCTGACAATATAAAAGTATCACTTTCCTCTGTCTCCATCTTCCATTATCTTATCTAAGTACTTTTATCAAGTTTTTGAGAATAAAAATTTTATACATTCATCCACATCTTCAGAAATATAAAGAGAGGCTCTGAGTCTGAATTTGTTTCTAGAGGCTATAAAAAGAAAACATGCATATGAAAATGTAAGAAATTTATTTGGTTGAATTTTTACCTTCAAAACAAAAAAGAAGATAAGGGGTAAAGGAAGCTAAAGAGATGTCTGAAAACTTTGAAAAACTAGGCTGTCTACTATTTAATCCTACCTGATAATTCATGTAAATTATCTCCATCTTTCTAAACATTCATCAAATCAGCTAACACCAAAGGTGATACTTGAGGAATTTATTTTTTCTTCATCTTCCCCCCCCCTTTTTTTTGTCATTAAGAAAAGACATGAAAGAAGAAACTTTTACATAAATGTAACAGTCACAAGTTAAAAAGGTGGCCATGAAAATACAACTTTCTAAAAACTTGCATAGAACTTGAACAGAATATTAAACTTTAAACATACATTAATTGGAGACTTCCAAATTAATATTAGGTTGTGGTGTCCTCAGCTGACAATTAAGCTACAATTTTCCACTCTTAATTGCAGTACACAAGAATTTAGAAACTATTAAGGGTTTATAAATTTATTTTGCCCTTTTGTGTTAAGACATGAATACAATCTATGTAATATTGATAGCAGGTCTGACCTCTGCTCATTTGGGAGAGTATGTTGCTGGTAACACTAAGGTCAAGAGTTAGGAACTCCATACTGGTAAGCCAGGAAAAAAAAAAATACACACACACACGGACACACACACATCTATTAAATGCGATAGCATTCCAAAACCAGAAAAATGTTACAAGAAAATAAAACTGCAGACCAATATCCTTTATGAGCAGAGATCAGAAATCCTCTACAGAGTACTAGCAAATCAAATCTAGAAAAATATTAAAAAGGACTACCTACAATAATCAACTAGGATCAATTCCAGGAACAAGACAGATTCCACATACAAAAATCAATGTAATGTAACATATTAGTAGAATAAAAGACAAAAACCACGCAATCATCTCAACAGAGCAGAAAAAATATTTTACAAAATCCAATGCATTTCAGGATAAAAACACATGACAAACAAGAAATAGGACATGAGTTTCTCAATCAGACAAAGGGCATCTATAAAAAAGCCAAAGCTAACAGGATATTTAATGGTAAAAGATTGGAAACTTTCCCCGTTATATCAATGTGTATGCTCTTACCACTTTTATTCAACATGGAGCTGGAGGCTCCAACCAAGGTAAGTAGTGGCTAAGGTGAAGGGAAGGAAAATAAAAATATACAAATTGGAAAGGAAGAGGTAAAACTATCTGTATTCAAGATAACATTTCTTTGTACATGGAATAGCTTAACAAATTCACACAAAAAAAATCCACTAGAGCTAATAAATGAGTTCAACAAAGTTGCAGACACAACATCAATACCCCCCAACTGATCTACAAATTTCCCTATCAAAATCCCAGTTGCCTGTTTTTGGGGGATTTGGGGGTTTTTTTTTTCGTAGTAGTTAACGAGTGATCAATGGACAACTGATCCTAAAATTCATCTAACATTCACTGTACAAAACTGGACTCCAGTGCCCAAAACAATCTCAAAAAAGATAAATAAAAATAAACTTAATTCATACTTCCTACTTCAAAACTTATTACAAAGATATATTAATCAAGTTGTGTGGTAGTGGCATAAGGATAGACATATAGATCAATGGAATAGAATTGACAGTCCAAAATAAAGCCTCACATTTATGGTCATTTGATTTTCTATAAGGGTGTCAGGACTATTCAAAGGGGAAATACGTATCAAAGTCACAATGAGATTTGATTTCATATCCACAAGGGTCTACTATAAAAAAAGACAAGGTGGGAAGAATGAAGAATTTAGAACTCTCATACATTGGTGGTGGAAATTTAAACAGCTGTACACTTTGGAAAACAGTCTGACAGTTTCTCTAATGGTTAAACATAGTTACTATATGACTTAACAATTCTTAGGTATATAGAGCCAAGAGCAAGTAAAATGTATGCTCACATGAAAAATTGCATGAAATGTTCATAGCAATATTAGTCATAATAGTTAAAAAGTAGAAACTATCCAAGTACCATCAACAAATAAATGGATAAAATAAAGTAATTTATACAATTGGAATACTATCCAGCCATAAGAAATAAAATACTGATACATGCTACAATGTTCATGAATCTTAAAATCATTAGGCAACGTGAAAGAAGTCAGTAGTAAGGATCAAAAATTTATATAAATGTCTAGAATAGGCAGATTTCTAGAAACAGAAACCATATTAGTAGTTGCCTAGGCATAAGGCTTGACAGCTAAGGAGAGTAGGGTTCTTTTGGGGTTAATGCAAACGTTCCAAAATTTACCGTAGTGATGAATTCTCAGCTCTGTAAATTTACAAAAAATATTAACTGGGTGTAATGAGTGGTACACAAATTAAATCTTAAGGCTGTTTTATATACATACAATTAAAGGTTTTAAGTTTTTTAAACCATTTGTAAAAGAAACTAAGATATTTTTCTTTAATTATTAAAAATACTGTTCATAATTAGCCACATTATATTATTGTAAAATTGTAAGGGTATCTACACCTCCTTAAGTAAAATAGAAAGTTTAAATTCCAAACCAGTAAATATTTTCTTCTACTTCAAAAAATAAGAAATAAATAAACTTATCAATTTAATTAATGTAAGAAAAAATAATTAAAAACATGTATTAAAAGGCCGGCCCGGTGGCGCACTGCTACAGTGCTCCGCTTGGGAGCGTGGTGGCGCTTCCGCCGAGGGTTCGGATCCCGCATGCGGACCGGCCGCTCACTGGCTGAGCGAGGAGCGGGGGCAGCGCCGAGGGTTGCGATCCCATTGCTGGTCCCGGTCCGGTACCGGTCCGGTACAGGCGCGACACTGAGGGTTGCGGTCCGTTGCCGGTCACGAAAAAAGACAAAAAGGAAAAAAAAAATGTATTAAAGAGATAGAGAAATCCAAAAGTAAAACAGTAGAAATAAGCCCTAAAATTTTAATAATCATAGTAAATGTTAAATGTTCAACTTTATTTAGTATGAAATATACATCAAATCTAAGAACCTTGAAAATTTGAAAATAAGATGAAAAGCCAGAAATTAATCAACTTATTTTCTTGTCCTTGTGCTTGTGCTAGATAACTGAGTTGGCACTATGTTTCTTAATAATTTTAGGCAAAATTAGTAAAAAATAAAATTATAAACTGTTATAATATTTGAATTAAAAGTCAACAGGTTTGGAAGAATGAGAAAGAAAGTAAAACAAAGTTACTAGTTTTGATTTAAAGATTAATTAGATCATACTTTACCAATTTATCTTAAATGAAACATTTATAATAGCTGACCTCAGATAATAATAATGCTATCCTGCCTAAAATTAAATTAACAATGAATAAAAAATGTAAAGTAATGAGATCACGTCTTGGATGTATGGATCAATTCATATATGTATATCATATTTATGTCATATGTATAAAAAATGTATGGAAGTGGGTAAAATAAAAATGTATGAAGTAACAATAGCAAAATTTTATCATAATTTACTACATAGAATTTTTAGAGCAAAACATTACATAAGATCAATGCTCTAATAACAGATTCGAAGATAAAACTAAGAGACTAGGATAAGAAATTCATTTAAATAGTAAATGCAAATGTTTATAAGCATATGCAAAGATGTGCAACCCCACAATTGTTTTCTAATGAAAATTAAAACAGTAACAAAACTGTAAACATTTTCATATCCAGTTTGAAAAAAAAAATGAAAATGTTGCTTATGGGCACGTAAACTGTATCTTCTCTATGCATTTAGAAGAATCTACCAAAATTCACAGTATATTTTTCATACATACTTTTATTTAAACACACACAAATATGTTATAGCACTTTACTGTTATTATTCACGATAGTAAAAATCTTAAAGCTTTATAAGTGTTAATCAGCAGAGAATGTTAAATAAATTATAGTTTATTCATACTGAAACATTGTAAAACTTTGAAAGCAATGATGTAGCTCCATAGTGCTAATCTGAGAAGGAAAAGATTTTTCAAAATTAATGAGTAGATGAACATGGAACATGTTCCCCTTATATGTAAAAAAAAAAAAAAAAAAAAAGTCTGCAAAAAGCCACAATAGAAACTGTAACAGAGATACTATGAAAGAGATGTACAAGAAGTATTAACAAAATTTTATGATTGTTTGATAATAAATTTTAAAAAATTAATTTGGTGGGGCCGGCCTGTGGCTCACTCGGGAGAGTGCGGTGCTGATAACGCCAAGGCCACGGGTTCAGATCCCATATAAAGGATGGCCGGTTCGCTCACTGGCTGAGTGTGGTGCTGACAACACCAAGTCGAGGGTTAAGATCCCCTTACCGGTCATCTTTTTAAGAAAAAAAATAAAAATTAAAAAAAAATTAATTTGGTGAATTTGTATATCATTCACATGGAATGGTTCAACTTACAATTTTTCAGCTTCATGATGGTACCCCTACAACCATTCTGTTTTTCACTTTCAGGAGAGTGTGCAAGAAACTACATAAGATATCCAACACTTTACTATAAAATAGGCTTTGGGTTAGATGATTTTGCCCAACTGCAGGCTAATATAAGTGCACTGAGCATATTTAAGGTAGGCTAGTTAAGCTATGACATTTGGTAGGTTAGGTGTATGAAATGCAATTTCAAATTATTTATTGGGACATGACCTATCGAAAGTTGAGGAGTATTTGTATATATAACTGCATAATTAAATCATTACCTTATATATTATATCATTTCCTGTCATATCAAATGTGTATGCTACCAAAAGAGAACATCTAGAGAATCATAACAGCAAATGACAAAAAGTAAGACACACGTAAAAACTTCCATAAATAAATAAATAAATATGTTGTCATTATTGTCATTAATACAGAAATAACTTTTTAAAATCACTTTGGAATTTTTAAACAAGTAGGCTCTTAAATAATGCTTGGTTCCAAGAGAAAATTAAGATTTAGTATCAACATATTTAGTTCCAAATAACAGACTTCTCCATATCATGTGGGGGAAAAAATAAGCACACATACCTTAATTTGGGGCTTCTTCAATTTTTTTTCAGTAGATAATAGTTACAATAAATAAATTAAAATTTTCATAATGTAAATTTAAGTATGAATTCTCAAAAAGTATATTACAAATATCCTGTTTCAACAGGGGGAAGATCAACTGTTCTTCCTTACCTATAGAGATTTTTGTTTAAAAAGATATACTATCATGATGAGAAGAGGTAGGATACAAAAGGATAATGAAAAGAATAATGAGTTAATTTTTTTAAAGGTGAAGGATGTGAGGGCTGGCCCGGTGGCGCACTGGATAGTGTGCCACTTGGGAAGCGCAGCGGCGCTCCCGCCCAAGGGTTCAGATCCCACATACAGACCGGTTCCCGCTCACTGGCTGAGCGAGGCGTGGGAGCAACGCCGAGGGTTGTGATCCCATTGCCGGTCCCCGGTCCGGTACGGGGGCAACACTGAGGGTTGCGATCCGTTGCCGGACACGGAAAAAGACAAAAGACAAAAAAAAAAAAAAAGGTGAAGGATGTGAGGGCTGGCCCGGTGGCGCACTGGATAGTGTGCCACTTGGGAAGCGCAGCGGCGCTCCCGCCCAAGGGTTCAGATCCCACATACAGACCGGTTCCCGCTCACTGGCTGTGCGAGGCGTGGGAGCAACGCCGAGGGTTGTGATCCCATTGCCGGTCCCCGGTCCGGTACGGGGGCAACACTGAGGGTTGCGATCCGTTGCCGGACACGGAAAAAGACAAAAGACAAAAAAAAAAAAAAAAAGGTGAAGGATGTGAGGAAAATAATAAAAGTTCATGTTGGAAATATTTTTGCAACAAATACTTCTCTATCATTCAGTCACATTTCTTTAATATTCTTATTAGAATATTTTCTAATAAACTGGGAAATGGGCAATACAGTAACTCCCAGTGATAGGGATTTTTGTAAATTACTTTATTTTCATTTTAAAGTTTATATTGTAAGAGAAGGCATCATAAGCGATTTAGAAAATACTGATCAGGATGAAAAACTTATATATGTTTTCACTTATCATAGATTATTGCTTCTAACATTGTCAGGAGTTTTATTTATTTGTTGAATTTTATGGTTAATACATTCTTCCTTTTTTGTTCTTGATGCATAAGCCCTCTTCTTTCAGGCAGTACAGCTGATCAAACGTAAATTAGCTCGAGTGGATGTCTCAAAATCACTTCATACACTGTCACTGGGATTAAGATTTTGGCGTTGAAAGAATCATTAATTGATGTTGTATTTCACTATTGGTTTTTCTACACTTTTGAACCTACAAAGTAGAACTGGCTCAAATAAATTCCTACAAAATTTATAGTCCTCAGGCAAATCAGTATAACAGAAGTGGTCTGGAAATGATGGCTTAACTACATTTCGATATTCCAAGTTTCAGCTCACATTCAAGGAGGTCTTGAGAATTTAAAATGTAGAAGTTAGGTCTTTTCAATTCACAAAGAAACTTTATGAGATTATTTTGCAAGGTGATTTTCTCCTCTCTTTCATTTTCATTCCATTCTTACCCCTTAATATAAGGTTATGTGTTTACTCCTCATAACTATTTAAAATACCTGATGAGCTGAATGAGAAAAATAATAAAGACTAGAATGTGATAAGTACATACAAAGAACTGATGAAACAGTTGACTTGTTTATATTTGCATTTTTCAAACCTATCATTGTCATACCTGATGACAATCATATACTCCTAATAGCTTCGAAAGCATGAAAACCAAATAAAACTAAAAAGGGAAACATTTCAGTACAGAAATGATGATTATTACATTCTAAATCATTAGTCTAGTATTTATATTCAACTTACTTGTTTGAAACAGTGAACAAATGAAAAATGTTTAGTGTTACTTACTTCATTATAGGTTCTAAGAGCAGAGTGTGCCAAAAAAAGAAAGACAACCTTATTTCTTTTTTCCTTTTTGTCTTTTTTCGTGTCCGGCAACGGATCACAACCCTCAGTGTCACGCCCGTAGCACACTGTAGTAGTGCGCCACCGGGCCGGCCAGACAGCCTTATTTCTGGTCAAACTTTTGTAGAAAAACATCAGGGTAACTTGACCCAAAACTGCTCCCACAATAATGATGCCAATGGTAAATGACATCCAGAATTTTTCATCATTCTTCTAAGTTTCAAACATGTACAAAGCAGAGACAGCCTCACTGCAGTAGAGAACAGTAAAGAAGAGAATGCTGAATGAAAAGTTTACATGGGGTCTGTGGTCAAGGACCATTTCTTCTTCCTGGAAGATGGAACTCTGCCTGAGCTTTCTTCATCAGGTGCTTCAAATATTGTCTCCATTTTTGAGGTCCTGACAAGTCAAAGTCTTGTTGTTAGTTAATCCAGTACAATTTGCTGTCCAATTCAAATAGGAGAAAACAAGATTCTGTATAATTGAACACTCACAGATAATGTTAAGTCAAATGTGGATCACTGACCAAAACACAATTCTACATCTGGTTTAGGAAATATTAAATCGCAGTATCTTATTTGACATATTGTCAATCAAAAATCATTGGTATAAACAAATCAAAAATCAAACTTTTATGAGGCACTAACCACTTCTTAATATCCAGATGACAGTCCTAACACCAGGTAGTATGATAAACCTACTCATTTCTTATGACTTTTCTTCTTTCTGTGCTTTTTAGCCAGTGTCTGCAACTGACATGAACCTAAGAACATAGCACAAGATCTAAGCAGAGTTTGCTCATACTAACGCTAAGAAAATTATCCAGTAGATATTCCTGACCAAGGAGAGGAATACAATAAGTTAGCCCTTTAAATTCCATTTATTGTTAGATTTCGATGAGTTTTCATTTGAAATACTGTTTCTTTGTTTGAATTCTATGGAAAATTATTAATTAAGTCCAGTATCAATTGAAATAGACATAATCCAGAGCTTCTAAAATAATGCAAATAGATGTAAACTTTTGTTTGAAAAAAATTATAGTTTATTTTAGATTCTATTTGAACAAATTGCAAGAGAAATAATACTAGCATACTGTGAAATACATTAGTCACTAACACCTTGAGAAGGAATAGAGAATGAAATGTAAAATGAGGAAAATGAAAGGCAATAGATAGCAAGTAAATATCAGAACATAATCTTCAGAAACATTTTTCCTAACTAAAAATATTTTTTTCTTTTTTTTTAATTTTAAATTTTCAATATACATTGTAGTTGATTTTCATGATTTTCATTTTCGCCCATTCCTCTTCCCCCTCCAACTGCCCCTCCCCCGCTACATCATATCTGTTCACTTGTCCAAGTTCAAGGAATTGTTGTGATTCTTGTGTCATCTTCCCCATCCACCACCCTTTATTTATTTGGGTTTTTATTTATTTACTTATTTTTAGGTCCCACAAATAAGAGAGAACATATAGTATTTCTTTCTGTGCCTGACTTGTTTCACTTAATGTAATTTTCTTTAAGTCCATCCATGTTATTGCAAATGGTAGTATTTCATTCTTTTTTATAGAAGAGTAGAATTCCATTGTGCAGATATACCACAGTTTCGTTATCTACTCTTCTGATCATGGACATTTGGGCTGGTTCCAACTCTTGGCTTTGTAAATAGTGCTGCAGTGAACACTGGAGTACAAGTTATCCCTTCAGCATGATGACTTCCACTAATCTGGGTATATTCCCAGCAGTGGGATAGCTGGGTCATGTGGTAGATCAATCTGTAATTGTTTGAGGAACCTCCATACCATTTTCCATAAAGGCTGCACCATTTTGCAGTCCCACCAACAGTGGATGAGAGTTCCTTTGTCTCCACAACCTCTCTAGTACTTATCGTTCTCAGTCTTTTGGATGTTAACCATCCTGACTGGAGTGAGATGGTATCTCAAAGTGGTCTTGATTTGCATTTCCCAGATGCTGAATGATATTGAGCATTCTTTCATGTGTCTATTCACCATTTGTATGTCTTCCTTTGAGAAATGCCTATTCAGCTCCTTTGCCCATTTTTTTTAATTTGGTTGTTTTTTTGCTATAAAGTTGTTTGAGTTCCTTGTATATTCTGGATATTAATCCTTTGTCAGAGTATATTTTGCAAATGTTTTCTCCGACTCTGTTGGTTGTCATTTAACTCTGTTGATTGTTTCTTTTGCTGTGCAGAAGCTTTTAAGATTGGTATAATCCTATTCATTTATTTTCCCATTAGTTGCCTGTGCTTTGGGGGTCCTATTCATGAAGTCTGCACCCACTGGTACTTCATGGAGTGTTTTCCCTATGTATTCTTTAAGTAGTTTTATTGTTTCACGATGTGTATTTAATTCATTAATCCATTTTGAGTTGATTTTGGTATATGGTGAAAGATATGGGCCTAGTTTCATTCTCCTACATATGAGGATTCAGTTATCCCACCACCATTTGTTGAAGAGGCTGTCTCTCTCCAGTGTGTAGAAATGCTGCCTTTGTCAAATATGAGATGGCTGTAGGTGTGTGGGTTGACTTCTGTGTTCTCTATTGTATTCCATTGATCTGTGTGTGTCTTTTTGTATGCCAGTACCATGCTGTTTTGGTTATTACAGCTTTGTAAAATAGTTTAAAGTCAGGTAGCATTATGCCTCCAGCTTTATTGTTTTTGCTCAGGATTGCTTTGGCTATGCATGGTCTTTTGTTATTCCATTTAAATGTCTGGATAGTTTTTTCCATTTTGGAGAAAAATGTCACTGGAATTTTGATGGGGGTTGCATTGAATTTGTATATCACTTTGGGTAGTATGGGCATTTTCACAATGTTGATTCTTCCAATCCAGGAGCATGGGATATCTTTCCATCTTCTTGGATTCTCTTTAATTTCTCTCAACAGTGGTTTGTATTCTCTTTGTAGAGATTTTTCACATCTATGGTTAACTTTAAGTATTTTATTTTGTTGGTCGCTCTTGTCAATGGGCTAGCTTTCTTGATTTCTTTTTCTGTATGTTCACTGGTGGAGTATAGAAATGCTACTGATTTTTGTGTGTTGACTTTGTCTCCTGCAACTTTGCTGAAATCATTTATCAACACTATGATAAATGAGTTCTTTTGTAGAGACTTTAGGCTTTTCGATATATAGCACCAAACAATCCACAAACAGGGACCATTTGTCTTCATCTTTTCCAATCTGGATGCCCTTTATTTCCTTCTCTTCCCTGATTGCTCTGGCCAGTACTTCCAACACTCTGTTGAATAGGAGTGATGAGAGTGGGCATCCTTGGCTAGTTCCTGTTCTTAAAGGAAAAGCTGAAAGCTTTTTCCCATTCAGGATGATATTGGCAGTTGGTTTATCATTTCTGGCTTTAATTATGTTAAGATACTTTCCATCTATTCCTAACTTGTAGAGAGTCTTTATCATGAATGATCGGTGAATTTTGTCAATTGCTCTTTCACCATCTACAGAAATGATCATATGGTCCTTGTGTTTGATTTTATTGATATGGTGTATCACATTTATTGATTTGCATATGTTTAACCAACCTTGAATCCCTAGGATGAATCCCACTTGATCACGGTGTATAATTTTGTCTGTTTCTGTATTCTGTTACCTATTATTTTATTGAGGATTATTGCATCTATATTCATCAATGATATTGGTCTGTAGTTTTCTATTTTTGATGCATCTTTGTCTGGTTTTGGTATCAGCGTGATGTTTGCCTCAGAGAATGAGTTTGGAGAATGCCCTCTGTTTCAATCTTTTGGAATAGTTTTTAGAGAATTGGTATCAATTCCTCTTTGAAGGTTTGGTAGAACTCTGCAGTAAGCCCATCTGGTCCTGTGCTTTTGTTTGTTGGGAGCCTTCTGATAACAGGTTCAATCTCTTTTGTTATTGCTCTGTTCAGATTTTTTATATCTTCTTGCCTCAGTTTTGGTAGTTTGTATATGTCCAGAAATTTATCCATTTCCTCCAGATTTTCAAATTTGTTGGCATATAGTTGTTTATAGTAGCCTATAATGATTCCTTGTATTTCTGAATTACCAGTTGTAATATCACCTTTTTCATTTCTAATTTATGTTATTTGGGTCTTTTCTCTTCTTTTCTTAGTTGGCCTTGCTAAAGGTTTGTCAATTTTATTTGTGTTTTCAAAAAACCAATGTTTTGTTTCATTGATCTTTTGTATCATTTTTTTGGTTTCTATTTCATTTAGTTCTGCTCTGATCTTAATTACTTCTTTCCATGTACTAACTTTGGGTTTGGATTGTTCTTGATTATCTATTTCTTTAAGGTGAAGTGTGAGGTTGTTTATTTGCCATCTTTCCATTCTTCTGAAGTATGCATTTAATGTGAGAAATTTCCCCCTTAGTACCGCTTTTGCAATATCCCACAGGTTTGGGTATGATGTGTCATTATTTCCATTAGTTTCAAGAAATTTTTTTTATTTACTGTTTAATTTCTTCTTGGAGCCATATGTCATTAAGTAGAATGTAATTTAATTTCCATGTGTTTGTATAGTTTCCAGAGTTTTGTTTTTGATTTCGAATTTTAATCCATTGTGATTGAAAAAAATACATGGAATAATTCCAATTTTTAAAAATTTGTTGAGACTTGCTTTGTGACTTAACACGTAGTCTATCCTGGAGGATGTTCCATGAGCTGGTAGGAAGAATGTATATTCTGAAGTCGTTGGATGGAATGTTCTGCAGATATCTGCCAAATCCAATTGGTCCAAAGTGCTGTTTAGATCTTGTGTTTCTGTATTGATTTTTTGCCTAGATGATCTGTCCAATGTTGAAGTAGGGTGTTCAGGTCCCCCACTATTGGGTATTAGGGTCTATCTCAATGTATAGATCTAATAGTGTTTGCTTTACAAATCTGGCTGCTCTGACATTGGGTGCATATATATTTAGATTGTTATGTCTTGTTGACGGATAGATCCTTTTATCATTCAATAGTGGCCTTCTTTATCTCTTTTTAAGGTTTTTGTTTTAAAGTCTATTTTATCTGATATAAGAATAGCTACTCCAGCTCATTTTTAATTTCTATTTGCATGATATATTTTTTTCCATCCTTTCACTCTTAGTCTATGTGTCTTGACAGGTGAGGTGAGTCTCTTAAAGGCAGCATATTGTTGGGTCCATCTTTTTAATCCAGTCAGATTAGTCTGTGTCTTTTGAGTGGGGATTTTAGTCCCTTTACATTCAGAATTATTATTGAAAGGTGTTGATTTACTTCTAGCATTATACTGATTTTTGTTAAAATGTCTTAAGTACCTTTTATTTCTTTCTTTCTAACTTGGTTTGCCTTCTGTATTTGTTGGTTTCTTGGGGTGGTAGATAAACTTTTTTTTTTCTTTATTGTTATCATTTTTGTTTTG